ATAGTAAGTGGCCCTAATCTTCCATAAGTGCTTTAATCAATTTACATGTGTTCATTTATTTTTTAATTAACAGAGAAAAACCTTTTTTTATCTCTTTCTGTAAGCTGAGAGCAGTCATTAGGGGCTGAACAGTGGGGAAGACGTGATTACTGTTGTGAAATACTCAGCTACTTGGATTTCCAAAACTGTCTGTTAAGCACACACAAATATAAACTCACTAGGCTCATGAACCAAGCACTGTGTTTTAATTTGTTCCTGTATAAGAAGCGGTTTATCACACCGGTTCATGGGTTAGCTCTACTTTAGTTAAGCATTGTTTTGAAGTGTTGTGTCTGGTAAAACACCATTCTCCAGGTGGTGTAGAACAGATTGCATCTTCCGTTGGAAGACATCACCAGGGCAGTTAAAAATGTCTGCCCAAGACCTTTGGCATCGTCTGCATTTAGTAACGTAGGAAAGCTCTGGATACTTCAAAGAATGAAGGAATTTCAGTAGCTTCAGAAACAGCTGTGTGCCTGTGTGCAATTACTCATTCAACTCACTGTGCCCATCATTTCTCATCTATCTCTGAGCTCAGAAATAATGTAAAGCCTCACTGTATCCAAGGAGGGAGAGTGGCTGTGGGTTAGCAGGTGGCATGGATTTGTTCTGTTGTGGGCCAAAATGTTAACTGATGCAAAACAGATTATTCTCCTGCCACTGGTGGCCACTGTCAGTGCCATTCCACACTAATTTAGAGACTGAGCTAATTGAAAATAAATCCTTGTTTTAGTTATTAATTATCTGATCTCACTGGGGGAACTGGCACATGGTTTAGATCTCAGTGGTAAGTACTATGTGTGGTTATCTACGCAAGACTCTTCCTGGGAACCAAAGTCCCTTAAGCATCTTCACCAATGTGAATGCAAACCTAAAACTATTAAAGGTGTAGAGGGAGACTCTTCGAAATGCAAAGTGTAGTGATAGCAACAGCTGCTGAACTATGTGTAAAATAGAGGAGGGGTGGGGGCATTTAATGGACTTCTGCGTGCTCTTCTTACATATGAGCGGTATGCTCTCTTAGTCTCTTTATAAGTTAGACAGGTCTGAAATTAGTAGATTAAAGACATCAAGGGTCAATCACTGGAGCTACTGAACTGAGAGTTACAGAATTGACAGCTAAAAAAGATCAGATCTAACGTCTTCATTGTAAAATGAGGAAGTTCGTGCCTTTACCAGAAATGACAGAGCTAGTGCTTTGGAACCTAGATAGATTACAAGCTGCCGCTCATGCGGTATGAGCTTCATAATTGTCCACTAAGCTAAGTAAGATTCCTAGGGTCTTTAGGAGTCACCCTGCTGTAAGGCCCCCATCATAATGCTCTTGAACTTTCATGATTTGACCACAGTGGTGGGAACATCTAAAGTAGAAATGTTTAATTGAGTTAAACTGGGGACTAGAATTTAGGAATAGATACTTTTCTGAGTTGTAGAAAAGGTGACTGTGGGACCAGGACAGGTAAGCAGGAGACCAATAACAGAGGCCCTGGATGCACAGTATTTATAGAGGGGAAAGAGCAGACAGACGACTCAGGAAGAGAAAAACCTAAGACGGCTATGTTCCACAGGAGCAAAAGATGCGTTTAAGTCATCGTGTGCCTATAGCACAAAGAGGGATGCTCTCTCAGCCTGGACTCTTAGGGGGAGTGCCTGGACCCTACCCAGAGTGAAATGACAGACTCTAGATATCCCCTATGTGGAAGGATTTGGCAATAGGGTGGGAGGGTGGGGGGGAAGGGGAGTGCGGGAGGAGGGGAGGGAGAGGGAACTGGGATTGACATGTAAAACAAGCTATTTAAAATTAAAATAAAAAAAGAATAGGAAAAAAAAAGATGTGTATAAATAGACAGAGAACTGAGGGCCATATCTAAGCTGATTGTTCATGTTTCTGTGTCAGAAAAAGTCAGTGCAACCTAGCTGAATGACTGAATGACAGCCTGAGGACTCTTGCTCATACTCCTTCTCATAACGAGCTGGAGAGTAGTCCCAATAGAGGGTGCAAGGTGGAGGTGAAGGCATGGGTAAAATGCAAACGGCCTGGTTACCTTACAGTGAGGACTGCAAGTATTAGAACGAAGTGCTTGCAGGCACTCTATAGCTACTCTGGTGCCATAAATAAAGTCACCTTCGAAGCCCCAGAAAAAATTTTATCATTGCCATTGATCTATCAGCACAGATTTTGGTTATCTAGGATAGTTTAATACCAGTGATTAAATAATAGAATGGTTATTTTCTATTCACCAAACAGAATTAGTTTTTTAAAGTGATGGTAGTTGAGACTGGAGACCTAACTCAGTGGTTAAAAAGAAGAAAGACAGATATACATGGTCCCCCGGAGAAGGGGAAAGGGACAAGGTCTCCTGAGCTAATTGTGAGCATGGGGGAAGGGGAGAGAGAGTTAGAAGAAAAAGAAGGGGAGAGGAGAAGGGGAGGCGAGGACAGGAGAGAGCAGGAAGATAGAGTCGAGAAGAATAGAGGAGAGCAAAAAAAGAGATATCATAATAGAGGGAGCCATTACAGGTTTAAGGAGAAATCTGGCACTAGGGAAATGTCCAGGGATCTGCAAGGTTGACCCCAACTAATAATCTAAGCAATAGTCGAGAGGCTACCTCATATGCCATCCTAGAGCCTCCATCCAGTAGCTGATGGAAGCAGAAGCAAACACCCACAGCTAAACACTGAACTGAATTCTGGAATCCAGTTGCAGAGAGGGAGGAGTGATGAGCAAAGGGGTCAGGATCAGGCTGGAGAAACCCACAGAAACAGCTGACCTGAACAAGGGGTTGTTCATGGACCCAAGACTGATAGCATAGGTCTGTTCCAGAACCCCTAAATGAGGATGTCAGTTTGGAGGTCTGATTAATCTATGGGGCCTCTGGTAGTGGATCAGTATTTATCCCTAGTATACAAATGGACTTTGGGAGCCCATTCCACATAGAGGGATACTCTCTCAGCCTAGACACACAGGAGAGGTTCTGGGCCCTGCTCCAAATGATGTGACACACTTTGAAGATTCCCCAAGGAAGGCCTCACCCTCCCTAGGGAGCAGAAAGATTATGGGACAGGGGGCCAGTGGGAGATAGGGGAGGAGGAGAGGGAGCGGGAACTGGGATTGACATGTGAAAAAAGCTTATTTCTAAGTTAAATTTTTAAAAAATGGGGGGAAAAAGAGCTAGTTTACTGCTAAGTTTGGTTCCCAGCGCCTTCGCCAGGTGGCTCACAACTGCTGTTAAGTTCAACTCCAAGAGGATCTGATGCCTTCTTCTGGCTTCTGTAGGCACTGTATACATGGGACATATGTTTATATAACATATATATAAATATGAATAAAATAACTAAAAATAATGGTAGTAGCCAAAAGAAACCAGTAAAGATAATAACTGTAGCCTCTGTTCCTCTATTCCTACTAGAAAACCCAGCATGTAGGGCTCTTACTTTGGTACCCAGTGGGCTTGCTCCAGAGATGCACATTCCAAGAAATTCATGCAGTCACAAAATCAGTCACCACCTTAGTCTGCACAGACGTCTAGAACAAATGCAGTATTGGCAGCTCATAAAACAAGACAGATTTATTCCTTCCAGTTCTAGAGGCGTGTAAGTCTTAGCTCAAAGCATTAGCAAGCTTAGCATCCTGTGAGGGCTTCTTTCCTGGTTCATAGCCTCTGGCTATGTCCTCATCCGCTGGATGGGGTAGTGTTGCCGTCTTGAGTCTCTCATTTTTAGAGACACTAATACTTGTCATGACTTAATCAGTTCTCACCCCCTAACACCTTCATCTTGGTCATTAGGACTTAACATGAATTGGGGCCAAAGACGACATAAACCTTTAGAACACTGAGTTACTATAAGCCTGAATGTGTTGTTTATTGGGCTTCATGTAACCAACAGAGACTGTCTGTCCTAGGACTTTAACTGGGTAGTTCTTCAAATATACCATGTGCTTAAAAATAGCAATATTATGTATATCTGAGCCTGGTGGAACAGGCATGTAATCCCAACTACTCAAGTAGCTAAGGCAGGAAAATTGTAAGTTCAAAGCCAGACTGGGCAACTTAGTAAGAACTATCTTTTAAAAAAAAAGAAGAAGCAGATGGGAATGTAGAATGTTAGAGTGTTTCTCTAGCACATACAAACATCTGTATTCATTTCCCAGTGTGTGTGTGTGTGTGTGTGTGTGTCTGTGTCTGTGTCTGTGTCTCTGTGTCTCTGTGTCTCTGTGTGTCCCTCTGTGTTGGTGTCTGTGTGTCTTTCAAAACTGCAGCCACTAAATATCAGAGAAACAGATATGTACTGTTGTCCCAAAGATCTTCAGGTTTGTTAGCAGCTTTCTGTTACTATAACAAAATATCTAGGACAAATCCATTTGTAAGAAAACCATAATTTTAGGTCATTTTCAGAGGTTCTGTCTAGTCAATGGATGATTGGCACGTTGTTTTGGAGTCTATAGCAATGCACTATATTGAGGAAGGAGTGTATTGTAGTGTAAGCTACTCACATTGTGGCTGCCAGAAAATAAGAGAAACAGGAAGTGGCCCAGGTTCCAGCATGCTCAAGAGCATTTAATACCTTAACTTCATCCCACTAGGCTCATCTTCTGGTAGCACCAAAATTCAAGGTCTAAGCCTTTAAGCATGGACATTTGTGAGACATTTAAACATGACAAGAGTGAAAACCAAGTCTAAGTAGTGTTTTTCTTTGCTTGAAATCCTGTGGCGATTCCTCCCATCGTGATCCGACTTTCATCATGGTGCTGAATCCCATCTCCGTGGACTGGCCACTTGTATATCTCTCCCAATATATGGGAAATCTCAAAAGGGCAGGAGCTGCATCTTAACCACTTAAATTCCCCAGTGCTACAGCTATGGAGGGTCTATGAATGTGTTGCTTAGAAATTAAATGGATTGGTGAAAGTACCATGATGTTGCTGAACCCTGACTTTATTTTGTTTTTCTTTCCTTGAGGACTTTGGCATTATGTTCCTGCACCACCTTGCAACTATTTTCTTGATAACCTTTTCATATGTCAACAACATGGCCCGAGTAGGGACCCTGGTCCTCTGTCTTCACGACTCAGCCGATGCTCTGCTAGAGGTAAATTTTTTTCTTTCATCTTGGAGAAGATAAAATACAGAAGTCATCAAGTCCCCAGACCAGCAGTCCTGTAGTGTGATGAGTGATGGTTTGAAACTGCTGGCTGTTCTTGGTGGGTTTCAATGCCATGTGTGTGCAGAATAAGCTTTGTTAGGATCCTCAGGTAAGAGGAAGCTAGAAGAAGCCTTGACCAGTCCACCTTTGAATGATTGATTTTAAAACAGAAAAATCATTGTTATAATAGATTTTCTGTTCTAAAGTCACACTGATTTATTTGAAAACTGCATATAACCCAGGGTAGTAGTCATAATAAAATTGAGCAGTTTGATTTTTCTCTTACCAGTATACATATTAATCTGTTATCCTACTGGTTTTAACAATGCAAAGGGTATATGAATCCTAAATTTTATACTAAAGATTTGTAAAGAATCTATCACTTTCAGAATTATGCTCAATAATGTTATATGTACAAATAAGTCATCACTTTATGCTAAGAAATTAAGTAGCTGGTCAACATTAACTTAAAAGAGTACAGAGTTCATGTAGAGGTGACTCTTGGAGTCATTTTTTTTCCTGCTGGGCCATGGTTCTATTGCTGTAAAGACAAAGGTCTCCTCGATGATCTGTTACTGCAATAGGAGCCACAAATGTACATACACATTTAATCTTTGTAGAGGCAGTGAGTTAAGGTTTTGAACCGAGTGTAAAACCTCACCAAAAATTGTAAAGATAGTCTCTCTGCACTGCATAAGTTAAAAGATAGCTTGTGGCCATGATTATTAAGTGATTCGAGCTAAACTTCATTCAAGGTGTCCTTAAAAGGTGAATATATGCAATAGGACGGAAGTCTTCTGAAATTCTGTTATAGTTTGATTTATCCTGTGTGTGTTTAGAAGTGGACATTTATGCTGCAGCCTACATGTAGAAATCAATCCTGGACCTGCAGCCAATGTTAATTCCTGTGGAAATCTCTGGCATGCAGCTTGGTGAGAGCTGTGGTACAGGAGATATTGCTTGAATCCACCACTTTCATCCAAAAAAGATAGTAAATCCAAGAATCCATGTATGTGGCTTTAAAGCAACAGTTTTTGCAACCTGGATTGTTTTTTGACATCATAGGTAATGCTTGGAGATGTCTAATTAATGAAGTTGAAGGGTTTACAGCATACACATCTCTGTCAAGTTGGTGATGTTGCTTATTTGTCGCTACTGGTGGGTGAGTGTAAGAGGAAAAGGATTTGTTGGCAATACCTAGCCAGAAGAAGGCTGGAAGTACCTTTTGTTTAATGTACTTCATGGTGTTATACTTCAAGTATTCGTGAAATTAAAAGCTCATAATTTTAACTTCCATTCATGTGATGGATATTTCCTCCTAAGACACATTTCTCTCATAGCTTTGTGCACTGCTTAGCACCATTAAATGACTACCTCCAAAGATGCTATCAACAGTCTTTTCCAGTAATTAATTTCCAAGTCATAGAAAGTAATGTTGTGTGTGCAGAAGAGATCTACAGTTTGTAACAGTGCTTAGATGCTGTGGACTCTGCAAGCCTGCAAGAAGTGAGGAAGAAAAAAAAACATCCATTTCCAGGCCCACCTGGTCTTTTTAAAGTGATGGTGCAGAAGAAAAAGCAGTGTGGTTGCCTCCCTAGACTAACATATAACGTGTGTGTGTGTGTGTGTGTGTGTGTGTGTGTGTGTGTGTGTTTGTATGTATAGGTACACATATAGTCACTGAAACTGCTATCATCAACATTAACCATGGAAGTATTTCCTGCAGACATTGAAACATTAATAAATTTGATCTTTCTAGATCAAATGAGCCTGTACTATGGTTCAAAATTCTACTGAAATAGATTCACTGACATGATAGTAGTGACCCTTTCCTCATCTCCAAGTTTGTAAGAATAAGCTGGAACACGTCTTCCCACAGCACCTCTGTGATTGTTAAAGTGAGCACAAACCTCAAAGTGGATGGAAGACAAACGCAGAAAAACTCTGTGGACTCTGCGTAGTCTGTGGCCTTGCATTTAGGGCCCAGTGAAGACTTTCCATATTGACCTGTTGTGTGGTTTCTGTCTTGATATCTCTGGCTTGCTAACATCACATAATGCAAAAGTTTTTATTTGTCCTCTCTGTTTTCCAGAAATTGGCCATATAATTGAATTTTTCAGGTTGCCAAATAATTTATTAAGTTTGTGAAAGTTGTAGTTCTACATATAGTTAGTGTTGCTTTTCACTCAGCTTTTGAGTAATGTATACATGCTGGTGTGTGGCATGTGCCATTTTTAAGTAGCAGACATTCTTATGCATGTGGCAAGCTGTACCTCATTGATAAACCTGTCTAGGGGCTCATGCATATGAAGGAAACCTTTCTTTTATCGCTTTAATTGATAAGTTGCATTCCTTCCTCTTATAGGCTGCCAAAATGGCAAATTATGCCAAATTTCAGAAAATGTGTGATCTTCTGTTTGTCATGTTTGCCATGGTTTTTATCACCACCCGGCTGGGCATATTTCCTCTCTGGTGAGTATGGCGATCTTTCTGATAAAGGCAGCCCCTCCAAGGAAACTTTTCCAACAGTCTTCTCCTGAATTCTACTCTTAAGTCCTTTGTAAGAAATTTACAGCCCCTAGAGGAGCAGCTGAAGAAGCAGCTTGATGGGGCTGGGGAAATAGTTGTGTTGGGACAGCGTTTGTTTTGCAAGCACGGGGACAGATCTTAGTCCTCAGTACCCATGGTAACACGTTTGTAGTTCTAGCACTGAGGAGGTAGAAACAGAAGTATCCCTGGGGCTCCCTAGCCAGCCAGTCTAGCCTAATTGATGAGCTCCAGAGCAGATACCCTGTCTCAAAGGTTGTAGATGGCATTTTTTAAATGATACTCAAGGTTGTCATATGGCTTACACATGCATACACATATGTGTACCACCACACAAACAGCACTTGATCTCGTCTTTGAGAAGAGTCGTATACTTTATTGCTACTTTGATGGCATAAGGTGTGTTTGGGGCAGCATGGCCATGGACAACTTTATTAATACTCTGTACAGCATAGTTAGAACAGTTGTGGCTTCTGAGGTTTCAGACTGTAGTCTAGAATATAACTTAAGAACCTCAGCCCATGGATGGTCTGAGTTAAGAAAGGAGATACGCAGCCATAGGCCAGAAGCAGCATTGCCTGGGAACTCATCAGATGCAAATATTCCTGGGCCCTCCTTCAGTCCAGTTAAGTCAGCCACTCTACAGGTAAGGCCTGCCTATCTGTGTCATCTTAAGTCTTCATGATGGTTGTGCCACACTAAAGTTTGAAAAACTCTGTCCTAAATTAGTCTCTTCATCAGCTTATGTTTATAGCCAGCAAGGATTGGAAAGTATAATTTAAAAATAACCCTGAAATTCTTTGTGGCTCCTTAATGTGTAGGTGAGTTTTGCTCTGCTAAGAACTAAGGAAAAGGCATACGGAATGTTGGCATTTGATAGAAGTTTCTGGAGGTCTATCAATCTGGGGGTGGAGAGAATGAACCCTACCAAGTCACTTTAAATCTGTCGTTGATGGTAGATTTCTTTTTCCCCTTCCATTTCAAAAGAGCAGTTTGAATGGAAAATTGGAACCATGAAAAGTGGATAAAGTAGGAAAATAAAGATACAACAATACTTTAGGATGCAGTAGTGTCCTGTAAAAGACTAACAACCACTAAGCTGGGGCCTTTATTGGGTAGGTCTATCATTAGGACTGTATGAATAAATCATTCACACAGCCACACCTTTTCAGCCACAAGGCAGACAAGATGCTTTCTCCTTGAGCTTCACAGCCCTTGGGACACATAGGTTTCATTTTCAAACATCAAGGCCTTGTTTGGCAACAGACATTTATTAAAACCTTATTATAGTTGAACATGAATGTAGGTTGGAAACACTGGAATAATTTTAAATATGACGTGTCTAATTATTTCAGAGTTATGGGGGGACATCTTTCAAATTTATTGCCATGACTAGCCATAAGAATTTAAAGAAGAAATTCAAACAACATTTAAGGAATGATTTCTCAGAATGGTGGAAAGCATTTTCAGATGAGTGAGAACCTGACTCTTGAGGAAACAGGCACCACTCATATGATTTGATTTACTGCTTTCCTTCTGGAGAGAGAGTTAAGATTTGCATCTTTTCCCTCCAGAAACCATGTAAAGGCTCTTGGGGTTTAAGCACTGGTGATACCTAGAACATAGGTCCACATAACAAAGAAATCCTACCCCACTGTCAGTGAGGGTACTCATAGGTACGCCTGCTACAAAGGCCTGCTAGCTCCTTAGAAAAATCTCTGTAACCCAATATAAATGTCTTGCAAATACTGGGGGACTCCTGCACCTGGGACCCAGGCCATAGCCAAGCTTTTGAAAAGCAACTTATGAGAACAGTTTTTTATTTCTGATAAGAAATAATCTCAAATTCACTACAATGACAGTTGTATAGTTAGTGACAAGAAATCTTTTCAGATACATCCAGGAAGTCAGGTTGGCACCCTACTGATGTGTTTGATCCTGATAACTGTGATGTCACTGTTATTACACTTTTTCACAAAGACAGCAATAACAACATGTGTTTTAAATACCTGATATTGTGAAATTACTTTGAAACTCCTTTGGAATTAAAGCACAGTTTGGGGAAAGACCTTTCAGGTTATCGACTGCAGACTCCTCCCCAATCCCTCAGCTTACGATAAGTGCAGTCAGTTTTCCAGGACAAGAATATTACTTTTGACATTCAGGGAAAAAAAACAAAACTGCTTGCTTTTATAAGATGACATCTGGGCCTTTACAACTTCTAAGCCACGGACTTCTAAGCTCTGTGTGAAATATTGTGTGGGCATTGCTTGCATATGTTTCCAGAGTGGAGGACCAGTCTGATAACTGTGACTCCTTCCTTTGCTCAGAGAAGTGCCTTGTGGAAAACAGAGTTGAGTGTGCATTCCATCTCAAGTAGAAAGCTCTCCAGGGTGTGCAGGTTTCTAGTATATCTTCTGCAGAAAGCATCTGTAATTCCTTCAGCTGTTCCTAAGTGTTGTTTTCCTTCATTTGTTTCCCTGAATTCCTCCCAACATGGTCTCCCAACCTCATCACGAGAGAGAACAGCACTTATTATTTGGTACCCACCCACTTCACGCCTTAGCAATTGCTTTAAGAGTGGCTTCCACCTTGCCCTGTGATGATCCATTACAAATGGGAGCTGCTTTGTGACTCCCTGTCCTAAGGTCAAATCACTTTATACATTTGCTTTTCAATGTGGTCAATTTACATACTCAATTACACAGTCTACATTTGTTCCTCTCAGGGTTTGCCCTGCTGTTTTCAGATACCATACTATAAACCATACAGTGCCTAAGCTTCTAGATTGGTGAGTTGGAAGAGACACCAAAGACAAATGTTGACTATGGAAGGATTTCTTTAAATTAACTCAGTGCCCAACAACTAAGCTTCTGTGATTTTACTACTCACTATGAAGACTTGGGAGAACCATTATTGTAGCTGCCTGATTCCTTATATTCTCCTACACTATACAAAGGACTGGGTTCCAAGTCCTGTGTAACTTAGGAGGACTCTTGTTTTACGCACCTTTTGTGCATCCAGAGACTAGACTACCAAGGACAGGAAAGTGGGAGTGGGGATGCACTCCTCTAATCCCAAGCACTAGAGCGACTGAGATAGGACTGATTGCCATGTTCAGGCCAACCTAAGCAACACCAAGACTTGCTCTGAAAAGAGAAGAGAAGAGAAACAAGAGGAGGAATTGGAATAAGCGAGGAATATAGCTCAGTGGTAGAGCAGTGCTTGCAGAGCATATGTGAGGCCCAAAGTTCTATCCCCAATACTTAAAAACGAGGGGTAAAGTGAAACTCCAAAGGTAGATTTTTAGGAGGCCTTACCAATCTCATGTGTGTGCTGTTTGCCTACTTTTTTTTATTGTATCAGTGTAAACTGTTAACTCAGAAGTCCTGCCACTTTCGTGTATTTGGTGAGGAGTTATGGGGCATTTATTAGGCAATCGGGATGAGCAATGTCCTGAACATTCAGTTAGATACGGGGTTTTCCTCAGAGCACTCCCAGTTTGAATTCCTTCAGGCCCTGTCAGGACTCTGGTTCATAGTGTGAAAGAGAAAGCTACAGGTTATAAGCTATTTTCCTAAGCATTTAGGAAACATCATAATATAAATTTTCATATTTAGATTATCCTGCTGCGCATAATGAAGAGCTCTGTCGGGTGGTAAATAATATACCAGCCAGGATATATCAGAAAAATAGATACTCTACTTTCTTTTTAAAGAGAGTAAGAGACAGTTTATTCTGAAACCAAATATGAGTTGTCATGGCCCAGGAACAGACTCAAGTTATCCCTGAATTATGTTCTGACATGGGAACCATTTCATGAAAGTTTGTATCATAACAGAACAAGGAAAATTATAAAATGAGACACTTTGACAATACAGTAGTAGAAATATCTGGCAAGTAGGTTACAGCAGGCATATGTGTTACAGGCATAAATGGCTACCAGGTAACATCTATGACTTTTGGATAGCCACTAGGTATTTCAGGAGTTGCATATACTAACAGACTCTGCTGGCTAAATAATATAGTGTGTCAGGGTATGTCTCATTGCTAGAATTCCTCTGCTCCTCACTAAAGTGTCCAGCATCCTTACAGAGCACCACGATATGGTCTTCATAGGAATCTTATATTTCTAGTGGCCACATTCAGAAGTGGTATCCATTAAAAATAGCTCACTTGGCATATTCAAAATAGATCATTTCATACATCAGCATGTTAAATTAGTCAACATTGAAACTATTGAGCTGTTTGTGTTGTTTTACACTGCATCTCCAATAGCTATATTTCATATTGTCATTTGTTTTACGTTTAGCTGCATTCAGAGTGCATACTGGATAGGACAGTTCTAGAAAAGATTTCTACTATAGCCTTTGGTGGGTACCATGGGCTACATGTTTCCTGATGTCTGGCATCTCTGTTTGTTTTTAAGCCTGCTGGTTGCAACTACTCATGCGAGCCACATAATACTGTAGTTAGGAGGGACATTTAATCAGAATGTGGCCTCCAGTCTTGCCTCCACTGCTTCATTTACATCACTGTATTGAGCACTCACATCTCAAAACAAATGAAGATCCCTATCTCATCATATTGCAGCACTAAATGAGTTAATTTATCTACAGAGCTAGAAAAATGTCAGACTCATAGCCATGGCTTTGAAGTCTTAGATTTTTTTTTGTTTGTTTTTGAGTAACATGATTCATTTGATATGAAAAGAAAAACCTTTTAGAAGCAAGTAAAAAAGCTCCATTGCTCACTGGCAATATTGGGAATGGTTCTAATGAGAGGAGTTCAGGAAATTATAAATGACTAAAGTATAAAAAGACATCTGGTTCTTCTCTGAAGGTCTGGTAGGATTCTGCTATGAATCCATCTGGGCCTGGGATTTTTTTGTTGGAGAGCTTTTCACTACTGATTTATTCTCTTCT